GTGATCGGCCCTACGTGGAATACACTCGTGTCGCACGTTCTGACGATGCGCCCTTGACTAGAACGTCGCCCTTGAATGGCCTACCGACGCGTCGCATTCGATCGTGGGCAATGGTCTTTACTTGGACTCAACTAGGATGAAGTTCGAAATTCAAACCGTGGAACTCGGCTACGCAGTGATCGACTGTCCGCGCCACTGTACAACCTCCAACGTTTAACGAGTCAAAAACTCGGTATGAACCAAATTGCACTATGAATATACTAATGTGCAACACACTTAGAACTAAGATGGACTTGTGTGTCAGAACTTATATTTGTAACTGCCTGTAACTGTAGTTAGTGTAGTTATTATAAACATTGTTTGGTGGTGCACCTTCTCTGTTTCCTTTGCTATATATTCTTTGTAACCTATAGTGAAACATTTCTTCCTTTCCAACTTTCTCAACTCTCACCCTTGGCACAACCTACTCGACATCTTAGTTGGGCCTAGGCTCCTAAGCCTAGGACCTAGTTAAACTTGATCATTCTCGTTCCAGTTTTGATATGCTATCAAAGCGAGTTACGTCCTGGCCTGTGGGCCCGCCTCATGCTTCCGCTGCTACGTTTTTCCGGTCGCGTGCCTAGGGCGCGTGGCGATTTTCTATTGTCCCGCCCCCGGTTGGCGAGTGACTCCCACTCTGCCCGTCGCGCGCCTCGTGGCACGCGACGGTGCCCTAAACCTGCCCGTCGTGCACCCCGTGGCACGCGACGGTGCCCTGCTCATCGTGCGCCCTGAGGCACACGACGGTGCCCTTACCTTAAACTTACCCGTCGTGCGCCCCGTGGCACGCGACGGGCCTCTCCGCACCTGCTCTCCCTGCAGCCGCCCCTGATCTACCTGCGCCGACACATTGTAGCCGCTCTGCGGCTTTCTTCCCGCCCGCCCCCTCCTCCTTTGTCTCCCTGCAGCCGTGGGGGGGAGGGTATGGGGGTGGCGGGTGTTGGAGCGTTGGGTCGTATCCTTCCCTTCCCCTCCTCCTCCTTTCGTTCCCATTGCTGCAGCTGCCGCTGGGGGGGAGGGTGTGAGGTTGTGGGGGAGAAGGGGGAGTGGCACCGGGGTGGCGGGTGTGAGGCAACCAGCAGCCGTCCCTCCACCTCTCCTCTCTTCCCCCCCTCTCTGCTGCTCCTGCAGCAGTGTGGGGGAGGGGAAGGAGGAGGGTGAGGAGATGGAGGGGGTGACCAGCTAGTGTTAGCCCGCCTGCAGTACCTGCTGTTGCTTGCTTATTATTTTGCATGTGTACCCCTACAGGTTGTATTCTGCACAAACTCCTGTTGCAAGCAGTTATGGGGGAGTGTCAGAACTTATATTTGTAACTACCTGTAGCTGTAGTTAGTGTAGTTATTATAAACATTGTTTGGTGGAGCACCTTCTTTGTTTCCTTTGCCATATGTTCTTTGCAACCTATAGTGAAACATTTCTTCCTTTCCAACTTTCTCGACTCTCACCCTTGGCACAACCTACTCGACATCTTAGTTGGGCCTAGGCTCCTAATCCTAGGCCCTAGTTAAACTTGATCATTCTCGTTCCAGTTTTGATATTGTGCATTGGTCTAACGTTGCAAACCGGGAAATTACACTACGTTGCACAACGAGTCAAAAATACAAACGGTGCACCTTATAGCTAATTGTGCCATGACTGGGTATCCTTGAACAGATTCAAGTCGTTCGGCGCACTGACGCATGTTTACCTTGCCAAAGCAGTTGCGAATGATCTCAGACCAGGATGGTCACATCTAGGTACATAGGAGAGGCTCTTGGTACAAAGAAACGGGAGTTAAACATGCAAACAGAGCACTTTATAGCTGATTGTGCCATGTCCGGCTATCCTTGAACAGATTCAAGCCGTTCGGCCCACTGACGCATGTTTACCTTGCCAAAGTAGTTGCGAATGATCTCAGACCAGGATGGTCACATCTAGGTACATAGGAGAGGCTCTTGGTACAAAGAAACGGGAGTTAAACATGCAAACAGAGCACTTTATAGCTGATTGTGCCATGTCCGGCTATCCATGAACAGATTCAAGCCGTTCGGCAAACTGACGCATGTTTACCTAGACAAAGCAGCTGCGAATGATCTCAAACCAGGACGGTCTCACCTAGGTACATAGGAGAGACTCTTGGTACAAAGAAACGGGAGTTAAACATGCAAATAGAGCACTTTATAGCTGATTGTGCCATGACTGGCTATCCTTGAACAGATTCAAGCCGTTCGGCGCACTGACGCATGTTCACCTAGCCAAAGCAGCTGCGAATGATCTCAAACCAGGATGGTCTCATCTAGGTACATAGGAGAGGCTCTTGGTACAAAGAAACGGGAGATAAACGTGCAAATAGAGCACTTTATAGCTGATTGTGCTACGATTGGCTATCCTTGAACAGATTCAAGCCGTTTGGAGCACTGATGCATGTTCACCTAGCCAAAGCAGTTGCGAATGATCTCAGACCAGGATGGTCTCATCTAGGTACATAGGAGAGGCTCTTGGTACAAAGAAACGGGAGATAAACATGCAAACAGAGCACTTTATAGCTGATTGTGCCATGACTGGCTATCCCTGAACAGATTCGTCTCGATCCGCGCTTTGACGCTTGTTTACCTATCCAAAACAACTGCGACTGATCTCATAACAGGATAGACTTACCTAGATACACAGTTGAGGCTATTGGGACAAAGTTACGGGGGATAAAAATACTAGGAGGGCACTTAATCGCAGTGAGTGGCATGACTGTCTTTCCTTGAACACGCAGTGAGTGGCATGACTATCTTTCCTTGAACAGCTTTGACGCGTTCCGTGCACTGGGTGCTCACATCGTTCGCAACTGCTTTATATAGGTAGACAAGCGTCAGTTCGCAAAACGGGTCAAATATTTTTAACGATAGCCAATCCTATTACCGTCAACAGCTTATCGCGCTGCTTGTATTATTCTCAATTCCTGTAACCATTAACCCTCCAAATGTATCTAGGTGAGACTGTCTGGTGCTCACATTAGAAAGGCAATTTAGCTGCTGACAGTCACTACAGATGGCATTGCTATCACTTGCCATTGCACAGTTTTGATCGTGTGCAATTTCCATTATAATGCTGCATGTGTATAGTTGGGATACGTTGTATGCATAAAGATATTGTACCAGGGTGCACACTGGTGTTTAGGTGTGTATCGATTGCCACTGTCATGCTCTTGTTGTAGTGCGTGCATTTGGGTACAGTCCATATGTAAAATGTTGTCGCCATATCGTCACAGACTCATTTGATTGGTCCTTGTCTGAGTCAATTGCGCGAATGAAGGGAGGTAAGAAGCATCACCCCCGTCGCGCATCGCGGGCACGATCAGCTGCATCGCGAAGCAAGGATGCGGCGGTTGGTGGGTGTAAGCTGGTGTTTAGTGGACTGATTGAACAGTGCGCCAAAATGACAGCTCAGAAACGCAACTGTTGCAAAGCAACTTACCTATTCCTGGTCATTGCAGGTTGGTTTTCCGAAAATGGGAATTCGTTCGCCACAGCGCTTTGCTATGGCATCAAGCAAGCACAAAGCAGTTTTCCTAACTCTGACGCGCGAGCCCATTGCTTCTTGGTCTCAGTCTCCCCCTCGTAAGTCATACAACCTTGGCCGCACCACTTTTAGCTGAGTTCGTATTTTTGAACTGTAAAAGCAACACGAAGAGCCAGCATCTAAGCCAAGCCAAGTTGCCGCGGCATCTGAGGACGAGGAACGCGAGGCTAATGCGATCTTAGGCGAGATTGTGGCGCAAGACGACTTCGACGGTACTGAAGAGGATGCAAACGACACGACACGTAATGACAACGGCACGGGCAAATCAGGGGGTAAGTCAACTATCTTATGGCACCTCCTTCCGCCATGTCCCACCACCTCTGAATGGTGTGGCCCATCTAATTATCCATAACGGTCCATTTTTGCTTGCATGAGCGCGATCTGCCGTCGCATTCATGTTTACCTCGCATCTTATCTTTGGTTCGTACTTGACACCCACGAGTAACTAGTCGTTTTACACTCACTGTTGCAGGTGCCCCTAAAACAACGTCTATGGCTGCAATAAACGAAGAGGAAGAGCGTACAAAACGAGTGGAACGCGCGGAGGAGAGCCCTTTGGGCGCCATTAACAGGTCTTCACCCCTGGGCAACCCGCCTCTGTCGACTCGCCAGGGCGCTGAAGAGAGCGAGATTGAGGCGTTGAAGTGACAGCTTTGGGAGCGTAACTTACAGTATGAACGTCTGCAGCGGCAGATGGACAGAGGGGGCGGAGGCTCATGCGAAGAGCGAGGTTCCGCTAGAAACGTGTGTGTGGCACACGACAATGTTAGTCGGGAAAAATAGATGGCGGTTCCGCGAACACCGCCTGCTGCTCCTCGTGTAGCACCGGCCACTCAACGCCCGTCATCTCTAATCTCCAGTCGTGACTCGGAGGACGTTGAAGGGCGTCCTGGTCCAAACGGCAAGCGCAAGCGCAACTTCCCTGTGGTTGGGGACAGCAAGCACCGTCGCCTGCAGCTATATGCACCGGGTGATGCCATTCCAAGGAGAGACCAGGAGCTCATGTGCAAGCTTCCAGCCAACGGAAAACCATGGGCTGTGAGTGAAAATGTTCCCCATGCTTGTGTGTATGTCTTTGTTCCTCTGGCTTTGCAAAGCATTGGCTCTTTGCATACAAACATGCTTCTTTGGTCTTCCCATGTATGCTTGTCCAACCTTCAGATTTTCTATATGTGACTTATTCCACACCCCTTACTCATCAGAAGAAGATGGAAACGGCAGTGCAAATTGCTTTGTTCTACCAGCCCAACGACCGGACGACTATGTATCTCTTGGACTGGCTCATAACAGAGTGCTTGATCTTCGTGTGGGGTGAGGACCTTCGTGATGCAGTGGTCTCCGTGATGACGTATTGCACGACACGTGCAGGTGTGGCAAAGCGGAAGCTGAATGATTGGCGAGGTCGCTTGTCGATGCATGCGCGGAAAGTGTTTTGCGATGCGTTCGGCCTCGCGTGCGAGGCAAATCCGCGGCTCAAATACGCTTACGACGAGCTTGTCAGTGATGAGCAGCTGACTTTGAAGGACGTGTATGATCTGGAAGGCGTGAAGCCCCTCGGTATGTATGCGACTTGCCCTGAACCCTCAATCGCACTCACCGATCCCCTCTGTCCCTCATTTGCTCCTCTCCATTCCCTTTGCCCATCACTCCATTCCCTCTGTCTCTCCTTTGCTCCTCTCCATTCCCTTTGCCCATCACTCCAATCCCTCTGTCCCTCCTCTTCTCCTCCGCTGCTCCTTCCATGCCCATCACTCCCCCTCGCATCCCATTACTTGGCAGTCAAAGGCGGACTGCTGCGATGGCATGTGGATGACGAGCTGAACTGCCCTTTTGCAACGGGGCTGTTTGATATCATCATTCGGAATGCGTTTCAGAAGGGTGTTGGTGGTTCTGCGACTGTCATCAAGGCTTTCCACATTGCATACGTCATGTATTCGGTAAGCCCCCAAATCCACACATGAGCACTCATGCGCTGCTGTTATATATTCTCCTCTTTGCTCACCTCTGTCTTGATTTTTGTTGTACTCACAGTTCCCATCTTCTCCTCATTCAGGTACCCCTTTCCCTATACCCACAACTTCCCTTTTCCCTTCCTCCCAACCCCACCGAATGTGCCTCTGTTGCCCCTTGTGCAGTGGCAGTCACTCCAGGCCTTCCGCTCACCTCATCCTTGCCCTCTACCCTTCCTCCCAACCCCACCTATGTGCCTCTGTTGCCCCTTATGCAATGGCAGTCACTCCAGGCCTTCCGCTCACCTCATCCTCGCCCTCTACCCTTCCTCCCAACCCCACCTATGTGCCTTTGTTGCCCCTTATGCAGTGGCAGTCACTCCAGGCCTCCCGCTCACCTCATCCTCGCCCTCTACCCTTCCTCCCAACCCGACCTATGTGCCTCTGTTGCCCCTTGTGCAGGGGCAGTCACTCCAGGCCTTCCGCTCACCTCATCCTCGCCCTCTACCCTTCCTCCCAACCCCACCTATGTGCCTCTGTTGCCCCTTATGCAGTGGCAGTCACTCCAGGCCTTCCGCTCACCTCATCCTCGCCCTCTACCCTTCCTCCCAACCCCACCTATGTGCCTCTGTTGCCCCTTTTGCAGTGGCAGTCACTCCAGGCCTTCCGCTCACCTCATCCTCGCCCTCTACCCTTCCTCCCAACCCCACCTATGTGCCTCTGTTGCCCCTTTTGCAGTGGCAGTCACTCCAGGCCTTCCGCTCACCTCATCCTCGCCCTCTACCCTTCCTCCCAACCCCACCTATGTGCCTCTGTTGCCCCTTGTGCAGTGGCAGTCACTCCAGGCCTTCCGCTCACCTCATCCTCGCCCTCTACCCTTCCTCCCAACCCCACCTATGTGCCTCTGTTGCCCCTTATGCAGTGGCAGTCACTCCAGGCCTTCCGCTCACCTCATCCTTGCCCTCTACCCTTCCTCCCAACCCCACCTATGTGCCTCTGTTGCCCCTTATGCAGTGGCAGTCACTCCAGGCCTTCCGCTCACCTCATCCTCGCCCTCTACCCTTCCTCCCAACCCCACCTATGTGTCTCTGTTGCCCCTTTTGCAGTGGCAGTCACTCCAGGCCTTCCGCTCACCTCATCCTCACCCTCTACCCTTCCCCCCAACCCTACCTATGTGCCTCTGTTGCCCCTTGTGCTGGGGCAGTCACTCCAGGCCTTCCGCTCACCTCATCCTCGCCCTCTTCCCTTCCTCCCAACCCCACCTATGTGCCTCTGTTGCCCCTTGTGCAGGGGCAGTCACTCCAGGCCTTCCGCTCGCCTCATCCTCACCCTCTTCCCTTCCTCCCAACCCCACCTATGTGCCTCTGTTGCCCCTTGTGCAGGGGCAGTCACTCCAGGCCTTCCGCTCACCTCATCCTCACCCTCTTCCCTTCCTCCCAACCCTACCTATGTGCCTCTGTTGCCCCTTGTGCAGGGGCAGTCACTCCTGCCATGTCGCAAGACCCTCCAGCACACTTCCCCTATGCCACTATCCCATTCCCCCATGTGTGCTCCCTGCTGCCCCCGTGTTGCCACCTTTGCTGCTGTTTGCTGAATCATGACTAAACGCGGTCCGGTACTCTATTCATTGTATTTATTGCCATCCCGCCCTCTTCTGTATGCTGTTTGGCAGGTTGAGCACGGTGTTCAGCATCACACCACCAACGGCAAGAAGGTTTCAACCGATGCCTGCGTCAACCACGACCAGATCCTTTCGCTTCACAGGAAGGTGAAGGCGGCGATCAAGAAGTATCTGGATGACACTCCTGACGACCAGCTGTCGTCTTGGGATGCGGATCACCAGAGATGGGTATTCAGACCGACGGGCAACGTTGTCATCTCGGGCAGCGGCTTTCCGAATCACATCCCCGACGGCGCAGATCCTGACAAGAGGGACAAGGAGGAGGCGGAGATCCTGGTGAAGTATTGCAGGATGCAGGCCGACAAGATTGAGAGAGGTTGTCAGGCGCAGGGTGATGGTCGTGATGACGAGGATAACGAGGTAGGCAATTGGATGGATGAAGGGGATGATGAGTATTGAGTGCATGGGTTATGTGGTGGTGTATTGGTGATGATGATTGCCATGTGGCAATAATGTGCTTATTTGAGGTGTAGTACGGTAGGGTAGGTGGTAGGAATGTATTGTAGGTTCGATAATAGATTTTGGCAAATGGAATAAATACCTTTCAATGGTCGCTGGTATTGTAACTGATTGCCGAAAGCATACGAATAAGACGCTGGGAATGATAAACATACAAAAACCAGAAACATATTGTTTATATAAGAAAATGGTATTATGTGTCCAACAAAAACATGTCTAAACTTCAATAGAAACAGATACAATCAGGAAATCTAAAACATACCTAGTGCCTACTGTTTGGAGAACACTGATTCATACCATATGGAAACCATGAAGGTATTGAAAGGCTACTAATTGGCGTTTACTATTTGCATACTGTTTACTTGCTATTTTGCTACTATTTGCGCACTACTGTTTAGTATCTAAATGGACCATACTAAATACCTACGACGCATGCTACTTTATGGTACCCGTAATGACCCATACTTTTTGCATAATGTAGGGTATGTTGCTACTATATGTACCGTATGTAAACAATTCATGATTTTTGAGATGCCCTGGGGGACGGCTCTCAGGCCACACGAGGACCCTCGGTCCCCTTCCCCCCCTGGGGGACGGCTCTCAGGCCACACGAGGGCCCTCCGTCCCCTCCCCCCCCTGGGGGACGGTTCTCAGGCCACACGGGGAGACCCTCAGTCCGCTCTTTCTCATCGGGAGACATCCTTCGCTGCTCGCGCAGTTTGATCCTGTCGTCAATAAAATTCTCCCGCGCGACTAGTGGAGTCTTTATAAAAATCTTTCCACAACTGTGGTGTTGAGCCTAATTTTCTGCCACCAAGGGATAAGAGGAGCATGGAGATCAATAGAAGGTATACAAAGAGAACATAGCGAGAAGAAAACCTAAGCAACAAATGACTTGCAGCACTTAGGCAACAAATGACACCCAGTCAAACGACTAAAGGCGTGTGCACTAGAGCTTGATATTGTGAAAATCGAACTTTGAAATCGAACTGCCGTCATTGTTGTTATTCAAACACCCGGGATTCGAACTCGTGGCTTTTGGCACGAAGTCTTGTAAAAATTGCTTGGGCACTCAAAAGTAACACACTTCAAGGTTCGGACAAGTCGTCGCACACGTAAATATTGTACAGTATTGTCATCATCGCAAGAAATCCGATTGGGTTAAATCGGACACGTTAGCACGTCGTGAGCGTCGCAACGTCGCACAAGTTGGAGCTCGAACCGTGCTCCGGAGGCTGTTCGAATGTGGCTGGGAACTCAGAATTCGAACACGTCAAAGTCGAAAGTGTTAACATATTCAAAAATTCCTCGCGAAGCTGATTTGCGAGATGTACGCAGTCAGGCTACCAACTGAGTTCGAACATTTTTTAACGCTAGTGCACACGCCCTAAGGCGCTGCAGTGTAGTTTCGTCACTGCCGCGCCATCGGCCATTTCGTCCCTGGAGCGCTAGTGGCGATTTCGTCACTGACGCACATGGCGTGTGGTGATTTTGTCCCTGGCGCGCGCCACTTGCGCCAGTGGCGATTTCGTCCCAATCGCCTGCCACCGACGCCAGTGGCGATTTCGTCCCGAGCGCGAGCCACTCGCGCCAGTGGCGATTTCGTCCCTATCGCAAGCCACTGGCGCCAGTGGTGATTTCGTCCCTAGCGCGAGCCACTGGCGCCATTGGCGATTTCGTCACTAGTGCGTGCCACTGGCAATTTCGTCTTTGGCGCGTCTGTTGGCGTTTTGTCCGGCGCACTTAACTCTCAGTTGAGCGCCCGCCAAGTGCAGTCGCACGCATGATAGTGCTGTCCTTCATGGAAAATCGAGCGCATGAGTTGTCGTGTAAGTGAGTCTTAGCGTAATAGGTGTTCTAAGGGCGTGTCCGGAGTGACATGTCAACGGATGTCGATGGATGTCGACGGATGTCAGGGTGGTAGGTGAGATTTTTCAGGTCGGCATTGTGTCCGAAGTGATCTGACATCCATCCGACATCCATCCGCCATCCAACTCTGTGTAATCATTACAGACAAAGGGTGCCGCCAACAGTGACCTCGGGCTGATCAATGCGGCGGTTGACGAACCAAATTATTGATAAAAAAATTTGAGGGGGAACCATGGCGAAATTATTTATGGGCAAGCGACAGCCCTTCGTAACTTGTACGGGGTGACGAAAGAAGTTTGCGAAATTCGTGACTCAAAATTGAACCTTCAATATTCTCTCTGGTCTGCCCTTGCCGGCGCCAGCAGTGCTGGCCTGCATTTTTTGGGGCAGTTATGTCGCCGGCATTGTGTCAGAAGTGCCTCGACATCCATCTGACATCCATCATTCATCCCCTGTCATCCGCCACCGTCATCCATTGGATGACGGATGGATGACGGTCGGATGTCGAGGGTCATTTCGGACCCGCCCTAATGACTCAGGAAACCTTTGAGGTGGTTGGATGAAAATGGGGTGGAACTGCAAGTTCCGAAATGAAGTCGTGGGTGGAGGCTGAATGGCCTTCAACCCTCATTATGTACTCGGCGAATTGTAATTCGCTGTTGATTTGCTTCGTTATAGGCAGTTGCGCTTTCACAATACGCACTTTTAGAAAGTACACACTTTCGAAAAATTTCATGATGTTGAAACTTCTCAATAACTCTCGCAATGTCCAACTCTTCTTTCTTCCAAACATAACTCGCTCAATCCCTCTTGGCCACCTTTTGCAACCAAACTACGTACACGTAGAACTCCTTATGCCTTGCACATCCCACCACGCTTAATCCCACATGCCTCTTCCGAGTCCTGACCCAAACTCCACCAGGGCCTAATGCCTCTTACAGCCTGATTTACTACCCCCCACCCCACCCCCCCAACCCTACCCCCCTCTTCCCCCTCACCCCTCGTCTCTTTCCCCTCCCTCCCCCCCCCCCTCCCCCCAACTTCCCCCTCTCCCTCGCTCGTTACCGAGTCCAGCTTCCCAGTCCCTTGCACCTCTCCCTACTCAACTCCCTCAGTCCCTCGCTTATCTCCCTGCCAAAATCCCATAATACCACATGCTTACTACGAAGTCACAGACACCCGCCACCCTCTCCCCCCCTCTTCTCTCCCTCCTCTTCACTTCACTTCCCCCCCTCCAACTGCTTTGCACCTCTCCCAGTCCGACTCGCAATGTCACATACGGTGCGCCTCTCGCAAGCAACCCCTAGATCCCCATTCGTACCATTTCTGCAACCCAACCCATTGTTCGCACCTCTCACCACTCACCAGCTAGTAGGCAATCTTGCCCTTGTATTGCAACCCACCCAACGTCCTCCATTCTCTCAACATTGTGAATGGGAGCCGACATAGGGGTTGGGTGTACGAGAAGTGCAACCAACTTGCAGCAGTGGGCGACGCCGACTTGGGCGAGCTCGTCGACGGGTTTGGTCGACCTGCACGGGGCCACTACAATGTTGCCGACTTGCGAGGTCGCCGACTTGGGAGGTCACCGACTTGGGAAGTCGCCGACTTCAAGAGGTCGACCAGGAAGTCGGTGCCGACTTAGAAGGGGCGTCGACTTGGTGACGCTGACCTTGGGTGTCAGAAACTAACGAGCAGGAATGACTGCATTGAATGAAATATGGGTACAAGTACTAACCCTAACTTTGGGTTGTACTCCATATGGGCAACCCCACTATAGCCTACACAGAACTAACAAATATATAGTTTGACACACCCCCATAGGAAAAGTGGGGGAGAACAAGGGGTCACAAGACCAGACAAGAAAAGAAAAGCAAGCCCAGGGGGGATCAGAACATCACCACACACTCTTAGCACAAGCAAAGGGCCACAAGGCTAGTTCACATGCAAAGGTATATATGCAACAACAATAGTACAGTGATTACTACCTAGCAGGAGTAGGCATGCAGATATATAATATAGATCACAGTACAAACAAAGTCAGGAAGTAAGCAAGTGAGCAAACACATGCACCATGCCTAGAGCAGTGCAGAAGCGCTGATGGTCACTAGACGGAAGTGCCTTGGTAAACACATCAGCAGTGTTGGCCCGAGTGGCCATGTAAGCAACACGAAGCAGACCACGCTGTTGCAACTCTCGAGTGAGGAAGTAACACAGAGCTAAGTGCTTCGTTGTGTGCTCCAGTCTGTGCTCATAACACAAGGTAATAGCAGCCTTGTTGTCTACGTACAAAACTGGAGGAGAACGAGGCCTCTCTCCCAAGTCGGTCAGCAGGTAGGTGAGCCAGCGCAACTCCTGTGCAGCCATGGCTGTCGCGTAGATCTCAGCCTCACACCTGGAGCTGAGAACAAAAGACGAGCGGGTAGACCGCCAAGAAACAGATTTGGAGCCAAGGCTGAACGTGTAACCCTGTGACGATGGCAGCAGCTGGCACATGTGCAGGGGCAAGGAGTGCATCGGTGGTAGAACGCATGGCACTTTAGCAGGTCGTGTAACAAGTACTGCAACTCACGCCATATTAGTGACTGTAGTAGGGAGTGTTGCAAGGACTGTAGCAGCAAGAGTGCCACTGGTAGCAGTCCTAGGAGGTCCACCAATCCAGGTGTCATCCAGACGAACCCAGAGCTCTGCTTTCAACCGCACCCATGTTAAGGTGAAGCCCTGCACGCGCCTGGTTTGGCATGTAGCAGCCCTATGCGATGTAGCAAGGTTTCGCTTACCGCATACCGGAGCTTCGGCATTCGCCGAGTACACTCCAATAGTGCACTTCGGTATGCACTGTTCAGCACTAAATCGAATTGGAGGGAAGTGACGATATTGCACAAACGAGTATGTGCAGCTGTTTGTTGCGAGCACCTGCGCAACTACTCATGGGCAATTAGAAAATGCACCTGATGGTATTTTCACCTCATGGCATTTTCACCTGGCGGTGCCAACCTGGAACCGCATACTAGAGTAGGTGCTTGCACGTTCTCCTTGAACAACGTTCTCGTAAAACGTTCTCGCACATG